TGTGTGTTTGTTTGGCTTTCTGTCTCCGGGGCCAGTGGCTGATCCCCGTGCCTTTCACCCACAATTCTTCCTCAGAATAACCTGACTGAGCCCGTGGCTCCCGCCCGTCATCCCGGACGCTCAGAGAGGCTGAGATCCGTGTGCTTCCTCCCTGGGTATTCTTGGGGTTTCCCCTCTCTTGGCAGTGGGGACAGAGATGTGGCCGAGATCGGGCATGGAGACACGGAGGCCAAGGGGCTTCTGTCCGCGGTGAGGGAGCCGGTCCTGCGTTTACTGCCTGGAAGCTCTCGTCCCCCGTTAGGCCTCCCGGCCTCCGGGCCTCCCAGACCGTCTTCCTGCGGGGCTTAGGATCCGAGTTTCTGGTGAATTCCTTCCTGATGAGGCAGCGTCTGCGGCGGAGGCTTTTGGGGTCACAGGAGGTGACAGGAAGTGGGGGTGTTGGGTGGTTGGGATGGCTCAGGGTGGGTGTCACGCGGATGTCCACAGTGCTTGTTTAGCTGGCGGCTCACGCCCGTCATCCCAGCTACTCGGGAGGCCGAGATCGGAGGATCGAGGTTTGAGGCCAGCCCCGGGCAGGAAAGTCCGTGAGACTCTGATCTCCCATGAACCACCAGAAAACCAGACGTGGTGCTGTGGCTCAAGGGGTAGAGCACCAGCCTTGAGCTGAAGAGCTGAGGGACAGTGCCCAGGCCCAGAGTTCAAGACCCAGGACTGACTAAATAAATAAATAAGTGGTGTTGGCCTTGGAGGTGGAAGGAAGCGCAGACACCTGTGAACTCGAGAGCTGGGGGTAGCAGAGACGGTGTTTTGTGGAAGCCGAGTGTCTTGTGTTGTTGGGAGACGTGACAGATGTTATTTTGGGGGTGTGGGGGGGAGCTAATAGGAACTTCATTTTCAGAAACAAGCCGAGTCTGGCAGACGTGGAAAGCCCACCACGACCAGACTGGGGTGGGAAGGTGAACTGTGGAACCAGGACCGAGTCCCTGGACCGATTCCACGTGGAGACGGACGGACGCCAGCGGCCCTCCCTGCCCCGCGCAGCTGGGCTGCGCGGTGCTCCTCCTTAATCCCTGACTTTGAAGTTCCAGAGAGAGAGGGGAAAGAAAAAAAGACCAAGGTTCTCAGAACCCGCCAGGGGCCGGAACAGTCTGTTTATCTTCATGGTCTCGCTCTGAAGAAGAGGAGCTTGAAGCCAGAGAGAGAGAGAGAGGGAGAGAAGGAGAGGGAGAGAAGGGACGCAGCGTTCGGTGCCAGGAGAGTGATTTACGAGCTGCTTCTTCCTGGACCAGCTCCGGGGTGACACTGTGGCTCTGCGAGGAGTTAGAACACACACTGTCCTGGAAAATGACCAGAACATTCCTCTGGCTTCTCTCCAGAGGCTCGGGAGGGGCTGTGCCTTGATTTCCCTCCCGTGTTCCTGCGCTCTTCCCCGTCAGGCCCGCCGATGTATTCAGAATTGTAGCAGAGGCCTTCGGCCTGTTTGATCCTTCCCTGCCCTACTGGTCCACGTTAATATAGACATACATATAATGTTATTGTTATTAAGTTGTTGTACAGTTGCGCCATTTCATGCGTCAGCTGTAACAAGTCCCCCCCCCTCACCATGTCATCCCTTCCCTGGCTTTCCTCCAGTCTGTTCGTTTCCACTTTTCCAGAATTCATGTGGGTGAATACTGTCTAAATCGTTCTTTTCCCATGACTGTGGAAATTCTGTCAATCTACTTGTGTTGTGGGGCGTCTGGCAGTTCCCACGGTGAGCGGTGCAGCAATGAACATGGTTGTGCAGGTGTCTTGATCGCTTGCTGACTCTCGATGCTCAGGGCAGGTGCCGGGGTCACAGGGAAGGTCTGTGTTTTCGTTTTCTTTTTGGGGGGGAGGGGGGGACCTCCAGCCCGCTGCCCAGAGTGGTTCCAACTAGTTTACAACCCCACCAGCAGGGGTGCCATCTCCCCCACGTCCCTGCCCGCACTTGTGGCTCCCACTGGGGTGAGATGGAATCTGGGGGTTGCTCGGGTTTGCGTTTCCTTGACGGCCATGGACGATGAGCATTTCCTCCCGTGATTCTTTGCCGTGCTTCCCTCCTCTGCTCCGAAGTCTGTCGTTAGTGATTGGTGCGTTACCTCCCGGCCCAGGAGACGTTCCCGGGGAGACAGGAAATGAAATCAATCGTAATTGTTGTCTCTTCTTTGCCCGGCTTGGCTGGGCATCGTATATTCCTTCCTGAATTTTCTTTTTCTTTTTGAAGATCAAGTCTGAGGACTCAGGCTTTGGCCCCCGGGGAAGGGAAGCGCTGCTAGAGTCTAGCTACCCCTGGCACCTCTCAGGGGCCTAACCTTCTGAACCATAAGTTTTGCTCTGAGATGGCTTATCTTTCTAGAACATTCTTCACATTTGCAAAAAGAAAAAAAAAAAAAGCCAAATGACTGTGGCTCCCGCCTGTCACCCCAGCTACTCAGGAGGCTGAGATCTGAGGATCGTGGTTCAAAGCCAGCCCAGGCAGGAGAGTCCCTGAGACTCTGATCTCCAATAACCTACCAGAAAACTGGAAGTGGCGCTGTGGCTCAAAGGGTAGAGCACCAGCCTTGAGTGAAAGAGCTCAGGGACAGCGCCCAGGCTCTGAGTTCAAGTTCCAAGACTGAATAAATAACAGTATAAATAAATTAGTTAAAACAATGGACAGAAGGTAAATAATGGGTGGATTTAGATGAACAGAGTGTGGATTATATATATATATATATATATATATATATATATATATATAAATGACTTTTTTTCTGGTTGAGAATACACCCCACCTCCCCCCAAAAAGAACAAGTTGCAAAACACATTGGAAACAAATTGTATCCTAGAGGGATTCAGTGACACACTTCACTGTGATAGAAAAGGAAAACTCAGCTTCACAATGTGTGACTCAGAGCTGCATTCCTGTTGTACTTTGTTTTTCTTTCTTTTTTTTGGTGCCAGTCTCGGGGCTTGAACTCAGGGCCTGGGCGCCGTCCCTGAGCTTCTTTTGCTCAAGGCTAGCGCTCTACCACTTGAGCCACAGCGCCTCTCCCGGCTTTTTCTGTGTATGGGGTGCTGAGGAATCGAACCCAGGGCTTCGTGCATGCAAGGCAAGCACTCTACCACGGAGCCACCTGCCCAGCCTCAGCCCCGATCTGTCCCAAGGAGTAGGAGTTTAATCTTTTAAAAAATGACTTACGAGTTCTCCGGTTCCGTCGCTGGCAGAGAAGAGCCGGGGGTGGCTGGGCTGTAAAAACGAATCAATCAATCAAGTGCCCAATTATGAAACGCTTTCAAGCTGACGCTTATCTGTTCTTATCTGCTGATTACAAATACTTGGGAGCCGTGGCGGCACTACGTGCGCCAAGTGGCTTGGGTTTATTTCCGGCCGGCTTTGACCGGAGAGATCTGGAAGGGAGGAGGAAGGTCAGAGTGAACCCCTAAGGCACAGAACCTCCAGAGGGCTTGGGGTAAAGGAGCCCAGGGCAAAGATGGCTGGGAGGGGGGGAGAGGGGGATGGATCTGTGGATTGATGCACAGCTCTGCTGATGGATCATCCATCATCCATCAGTAGATCAGAGATCTATGGCAGGTCTGCAGTTTTTCCTTTTAGTGGATTGTGGCCTGCTCCCCAACCCCCAATAACTCCGAGACAGACAGACAGACAGACAGACAGACAGTTTCCATCTCCAGTTTGTAGCTCTGAGATCTTGAGCTTCCAGAAGAAAATCAACTGCCAAAAGTCACTGGGCCGGCCTTCCTCTAGAAGAAAACTCTGTCTCAACTGCACAGTCTTCCTAAGCTCTGATCACCCTGGTTTTGTTTGTTATTTGTCAGTCCTGAGTCTTGAACTCAGGGCCTGGGCGCTGTCCCTGAGCTCTTTCATTCAAGGCTCTACCACTGGAGTCACACCTCCAGCCCAGCTTTTTGGTGGTTCACTGGGGATCAGAGTCTCACCGACTTTCCTGCCCTGGCTGGCTTCGAACCGCCATCCTCAGATCTCAGCCTCCTGAGTAGCTGGGATGACAGGCGTGAGCCACGGCGCCCGGCTGCTGTCTGCTTTGTTTGTTTTATTTCCTCGCCGTCCAGCGAAGTGTCTCTGCTCCTTTGGAAAATCTCCAGAACCTTCTAGAATAATCTGTCTAGCCTCCTGCGACTCTTTTTTGGCCTGAAAGCAAGCTTCAACACAGGAATTGCATTCTTTGCTCAATGCAGATTTTAATCGCTTTGATTGATAGGACACCCCTTTGAAGGTCACCCCGAATCCTGACACGGGAGGGGGGGTCTCTGGCGGAGCGTGTTCACAAATGGGGGGGGCGGGGGTCTCTCCCAAGGCGAAAGCATTTCACGGAGCCAGCGGGCGGGGAGGAGGAAGGAACCCTGGGCTGCGTCCCTGAACTGCAGTCAGAAGCTGGATCCAATCAGAGCGTTCCCGATGCCAAGAACAGAAAGACATCGTGGCAGGAATACTAATGTAAACCCACAGGAGGCCCAGGGGAGATGGGGGCGTTTTCTTAATGTCGGAATAGTTGAATCAAAGCCACAGCAAGATCGGATGGAGAGGTGTGCAGGCAGCCAGGCAGGGGGGTGGATGGGGGGGGGGGCCTGGGCTCCCTCCCCCTCCTCCCCCTCCTCCCCCATCTCCTCCTCCCCCTCCCCCTCCTCCCCTTCCTCCTCCCCCATCTCCTCCTCCTCCCTCTCCCTCCTCCCCCTCCTCCTCTCCCTCCTCTCCCTCCTCCTCCCCCTTCATCTCCTCCTCTTCCTCCTCCTCCTCCATTTCCTCCTTTTCTTCCTCCCCCTCCTCCTCCCCCTCCCCCCTCCTCCTCCCCCTCCCCCTCCCCCTCCCCCTGCCCCTCCCCCTCCTCCCCCTCCCCCTCCCCTCCTCCTCCCCCTCCCCCTCCCCCTCTGCCTCCCCCTCCCCCTCCCCCTCCCCCTCCGCCTCCCCCTCCTCCTCCTCTCACGCACGGCTGACCTGCTCCTCCTCTCCTTCCCCGCAGCGCTCGTGGTGCGGTTCCTGACCCGACGGTTCATCTGGGAGTACGACCCCACACTGGGTAGGTCCCGCTGTGCCTCCTCCTCCCCGTCCCCTTCCTCCCCTCCTCCTCCTCCCCTTCCCCCTCTTCCCCCTTCTCCTCTTCCTCCTCCTCCTCTCCTCCTCCTTCCCCTTCCTCTCCCACCCCCCTCCTCCCCTCCAATGCAAGTGTAGCTTCTCTGGAAAGAGTCTTTTCTGCACCTAAACCCTAAACCCTCTTCCTTGTATCTATTTGTGTGTTCACATGCATGTGTGCATGTGCGCGCGCACATGTGTGCATGTGTGCATGTGTGTGCATGTGTGTATGTGTGTATTGTGCGTGCACGTGTGAGCACATGTGTGCATGTGTGTGCATGTGCGCGCGCGCGCGTGTGTGTATGTGTGAGTGCACGTGTGTGTGTGTGTGTGTGTGTGTGTGCTGGTCCCCGGGTCTGGGCTCTGTCCATGAGGTTTTTTTTTCTCAAAGCTGGTGCTCTACCACTTGAGCCAGCATGCCACTTCTAGCTTTTTGCTGGAGATCAGAGTCTCACGGACTTTCCTGCTCGGGCTGGCTTCGCACCGTGATCCTCAGCTCTCGGCCTCGTGAGCAGCTGGGCTGGCAGGCGGGAGCCACGGGCGCCGGCCTCTTTCTTATTATTATTATTTCTTTCCTCGTGGATGTGATGAGCGGTGGGGATGGCTTTGAGTTGTAGAAGGGAGGACAGTGACTTCATTTTGTTCATTGTTATGTGCGGATGCTCCTCCACCCAGATGGGAGAAGGTTCCAGACACGGGTCTCCTCAGTACCTTCACGGTGAGCTGACCTTTCACCCCTGGCTAGGAGACAGCACATGGTTGCTAAGCAACCGGCCTCCTCCTGGTGACTCACCCAGGATGCTGGGCCTGCATCTCTCCCACGGCCGCTGTGTGTGTGTGTGCGTGTGTGCATGTGCGTGTGTGTGTGCACGCACGTGTGTGTGTGCGTGCGCGCGCGTGTGTGTGTGCGTGCGCGCGTGTGTGTATGTACACCATTGCTGCTGGCAGCCTGGCATCTTCCTTCTCCCCCCGCCCCTCCTCACGTTCACGAGAAGTGAGCACCCCGGGTTCAGGGGCCGGTGCCTCACACCTGCCATCCACCTCCTCCAGGAGGCTGAGATCCTTAGCTCAAAGCCAGCCCGGACCTCCACCCCACTCCCCACGCCGCGCCCCATCCCCAAAATCCAGGAGACTCCACCACCTCCCAGATAATCGGCGAAAACAAAGCAGGGCGGGAGGTATGGCTCGAGCGGCGCGGCGCCAGCCCGGCCAGCTCGGGCCGCAGCTGAGGCCAAGCCCAGCGCTGCGTGTGTGTGCGCACGAGACGCCCCAACACCACAGGCCACGCGTGGCCCGGCCAACACACCGAGGTGTCTGGAAGAGAGAGCCGTGCCGGGTTCCGGGCCGTCCGCTGAGGCCTGAAAATGGTCCCGCCCGGCCTCAGAGTCCCAGACCTCTCCTGCCTGACTCAGCCTGTGAAGGAAGAGGAAGGGATCCCAAGTGTCTAGACTCCCGGACCAGCATTTTGTCGCTCCTCCCTTCCTCCTTCCCTCCCTCCCGCCCTCCTCCCTCCCTCCCTCCTCCCTCCCTCCCTCCCTCCTCCCTCCCTCCCTCCCTCCCTCCTCCCTCCCTCCCTCCCTCCCTCCCTCCTTCCTTCCTTCCTCCTTTCCTTCCTTCCTCCTTTCCTTTCCTTTCTTTTCTTTTTTCCAGGCACAGAGCTTGAGCTCAGAGGCCGGGCGCCATCTCGACTTGCCTGCTCACAGTGGGTGCTCTACCACCAGACCCACGCCTCCAGCCCACTTTTGCTGGTTGTGTTGGAGCTGGAATCCCAAGGCTTCTCGGCCCGCGCTAGCTTCGCGTCTCCTCCCTGCTGCGTCCCGGCGTCCACCCGGAGGAGCCGGGCTGCAGGCGTGAGGCGCCGCGCGTGGCTTGGCTCCACGTTCCACGCAGAACGTGGCCTGTCATAGGAATCCCAGTGTGGAGCTGAGGGCCAGGGCCGGGCGGGGGAGCGCCTGGCCTCCACCTGTCAGAGGAGAGATCTGTGTGTGAGTGTGTGTGTGCTCGTGTGCGCGTGTGCAGGGTGGCTGTCTCTACACTCGGGGGAGGGGCCGGGCAGGGTGAGGCGCTTGTGGGGAGCCGTGGCCCCCCAGGCTGGGACCCCCTCTCCCCCGCAGCCTCTGGGAGCGGAGATCTCGCCCAGCCCGGGACACACGCCCAGCCCCGGGACACACGCCCAGCCCGGGACACACGCCCAGCCCAGGACACACGCCCAGCCCGGGACACACGCCCAGCCCGGGACACACGCCCCGCCCAGGACACACACCCAGCCCAGGACACACGCCCAGCCCGGGGACACACGCCCAGCCCGGGACACACGCCCAGCCCGGGACACACGCCCAGCCCGGGACACACGCCCAGCCCGGGGCCTTTCAACTCTGTGCCAAAGCTCTAGTACCGCCAGCTTGCACAGGGACTTAATCACAGGGCTGTGGCGAGCTTGGGCGTTGTGTGAGAGAGAGAGAGAGAGGACAGACAGACAGATAGAGACAGAGACAGACAGAGAGAGAACTTGTTCAAAGAAATCAACTTCCAGCCATGATTGAGAGGCTGTGTGTGTGTGTGTGTGTGTGTGTGTGTGTGTGTGTGTGTGTGTGGTTGTAGGTTTTGAACTCAGGGCCTGGGCGCTGTCCCTGAGCTCTTTCACTCCAGGCTGGTGCTCTACCACTTGAACCACAGCACCACTTCTGGTTTTCTGGTGGTTCATTGGCGATAAGAGTCTCATGGACTCTCCTGCCGGGCTGGCTTTGAACCGCGATCCTCAGCTCTCAGCCTCCTGAGCAGCTGGGATGGCAGGGCGTGAGCACCGGCGCCCGGCCCTCATTTTGTACTTTCAGGGTGACATCGAATCGTGCATCGCATTGACCCCTGTGCCGTCTTTATTGTCTCCTTCCCCCAGAATCCACCTACCAACACCAGGCGACCATCGACGATGAAACCGTTTCTATGGAAATCCTGGACACGGCTGGGCAGGTGACCGGAGGGTTTGGTATTGTTATTGTTGTTGTTGTTGTTTGTTGGGCGTCCAGGGGACAGGGTGGCATCTCGGTGGGACTGTCTCCGGGTCTCCGCCGCCCCACACGCTCGGACGGGAGTGCAAACCCCGGGACCCCAGAACTCCGCCCAGCCCGTGTGGTGCGGTCAGCGCGGTCAGCCCCGACGCCATAGCTTGGTTTGGTTCTGGTTTGCTTTTATGGTGAAGGTATTTTGGGGAGGTTCAGGCAGATCGCTGTGTGTGCACGTCTGTCCGTGGGTGTGCGCGTCCGTCCGTGGTGTGTGCGTGGGCACCACTCGGAGAGGAACCAACGGCCGGGAGGGAGGTTTAGTGGGCGTCTGTGTGCACACTTCCGGAAATGTGGGGAAGATGCTGGCGAGCCCAGAGCCTTCCACACCAGGCGTGCAAGGAGGGAGGGAGGGAGGGGGGGATGGAAGGAGGGAAGGGAGGAAGGAGGGGAGAGAGAAAATGAAGGAAGGGAGGGAGGGGAGGGAGGGGAGGGAAGGAAGGAAGGAAGGAAGGAAGGAAGGAAGGAAGGAAGGAAGGAAGGGAAGGAAGTGAAGGAAGGAAGGAAGGAGGGAGGGAGGGAAGGAAGGAAGGAAGGAAGGGAGGGAGGGAGGGAGGGAGGGAGGGAAGGAGGGAGGAAAGGGAGAGGGAGGGAGGGAGGGAGGGAAGGAAGGAAGGAAGGGAAGGAAGGAAGGAAGGAGGGAGGGAGGGAAGGAAGGAAGGAAGGAAGGGAGGGAGGGAGGGAGGGAAGGAAGGAAGGAAGGAAGGGAAGGAAGTGAAGGAAGTGAAGAAAGGAAGGAGGGAGGGAGGGAAGGAAGGAAGGAAGGAAGGAGGGAGGGAGGGAGGGAAGGAGGGAGGGAGGGAAGGAAGGAAGGAAGGAAGGAAGGGAAGGAGAAGGAGGGAGAAGGAAGGAAGGAGGGAGGACCAGAGCCGGGACAGTTAAGGGCTGTGGTGGCGTCTGTGGGGAGGGCGTGCTACTGGGGTCCCCCTCCTCCCTGTCTGGTGCCCCCCATGCTCAGCCCCCCCCCCCCCCCGCAGGAGGACGGGGCGCAGCGTGAGGGCCACATTCGGTGGGGCGAAGGCTTCGTGCTGGTCTACGACATCACCGACCGCGGCAGCTTCGAGGACGTGCTGCCCCTGAAGAACGTTCTGGACGAGATCAAGAAGCCCAAGCCGGCCACGGTGGGTGCTGGTGGGCAACAAGGCGGACCTGGGGCACTCGCGGCAGGTGAGCGCGGAGGAGGGCCGGCGGCTGGCCGCGCAGCTGGCCTGTGGCTTCTACGAGTGCTCGGCCTGCACGGGCCAGGGCCGCATCGCCGAGCTCTTCCTGGAGCTGGGCCGCGAGGTGCGGCGCCGGCGGCTGGCGCAGGGCAAGGCGCGGAGACGCAGCTCCACCACGCAGGTCAAGCAGGCCCTCAACAAGATGCTCACCAAGATCAGCAGCTAGGCCGGCGGCCGGGGCGGCAGGAGGGGGAGGAGGAGGAGGAGGAGGACCAGAGGAGGAGGAGGACCAGGAGGAGGACCAGGAGGAGGAGAGACAGGAGGAGGACCAGGAGGAGGAGGCCGGAAAAGCCTCCCTTCACCCCCCCCTCCAAAAGATGGCTCACACCCGTCATCCCAGCCACTCAGGAGGCTGAGATCTGGAGGATCACCGTTCAAGGCCAGCCCGGGCAGGAAAGTCCCTGAGACTCTGATCTCCCAGGAACCACCAGAAAATCAGATGTGGCGCTGTGGCTCAAGGGGTAGAGCGCCAGCCTGGGGTGAAAGAGCTCAGGGACAGCGCCCAGGCCCTGAGTTCAAGTCCCCCCCTCCCCCAGGACCGGTTAGGGGAAGTTTGAGGGGGTGGTTTGTTTTGTTTTGTTTTTAATGCAATTTCCACGCAGACCGGCTCACCACCTCCAGCTTACCTGTGATCAGCTGAGATTCGGAAATGGCTGCTTTCCTACCCAGCGCGCGTGTGTGTGTGTGTGTGTGTGTGTGTGTGTGTGTGTGTGTATTTCAAAACCCCAAATCTCCTCAGAAAGATCCTGATCATGATCATTCCTGATGTTGGCTTAAAATGGCTAAGAGAGGGCTGGGCAGGTGGCTCAGTGGTAGAGCGCTCACCTTGCAGGCGCGAAGCCCTGGGTTCGATTCCTGAGCACCACATACACAGAAAAATCTGGAAGTGGCGCTGTGGTAGAGCACTAGCCTTGAGCAAAAAGCAGCTCAGGGACAGCGCCCGGGCCCTGAGTTCAAGTCCCAAGGACTGGCCAAAAAAAAAATTTTTTTAATGGCAAAGAGAGCAGAAAAAAAAAAAAAGGAAAAAAACCCAAAGCACCAGGAATGGAAGCCGAAATCTCGTTCCTATTTTTTTTTAAATGAGGATTCCTGGATAGTTTTTCTTTCACCCTTTTTCTTGTCCTTAAATGAAAATCTGTTCTCCGGAAGGCTCCCCCCTCCCCCACCCCCCAAAAACACACACACTGGGAGAGAGGATCGGAGCTCCCGTGGTATTCTAATAATGCTTGCACCCCTAATTCTTCTTCCTAAATGACCTGCAGACAGCTTGCATCACAACTCACCTCCTGCTAGAGTCCAGTGGGGTTTTGTGTGTGTGTGTGTGTGAATTGCTGTCCTACGTGAGTGGAAAGGTTAGAGGTCAAGTGACAGGAGAAGGAAGAGAACCAGCAGCTGACCCTGTGTTCACGGGGGCCGCTGATCTATGGGACTTTCTTCCAGCCTCGGGAAGGAGTTCGTTCGCTTGGAGAAGTTCAGAGGAGATTGAGGGATTAGGGCTCAGTAGATCTGAGATTGAGGGATTAGGGCTCAGTAGATCTGAGATTGAGGGATTAGGGCTCAGTAGATCTAAATAAACGAATGCAAAATGGATTCTGATACTGAGAAAATACAGGCCACAACTCACACCGCTCGAGGATTCTTTTCTCCTCCTTTGTACCACCCCATAGATCGAGATTTAGGCACTTTATCTCAGAATCCATAAATGTATGTGTGTGTGTGTGTGTGTGTGTGTGCTTGTGGTACCTTTGGCATAGGTATGCATTTATATGTACACATATATATGGATCAAATCGGTATTTGCTGGAGGCATCTTTAATTCACCACTGTACCTGGATAACTTGGTGTAATGGATTTTTATCTTCTGTGACTATCATAATAAAAAAAGCTTAATTTTCAACCATGGCCCTACTCAGGCATTCCTTCTGGCGGGCTAGGAAACCTTGATCGGTCTGGGATTTCCTTGTGGGAATGATTAAGTTGCAATGTTGATTGACAAATATTTTTGTTTATTTTTATTTATTCTTGTCGGTCATGGGACTTGAACTCTGGGCCTGGGCGCTGTCCCTCGGCTCTTCAGCTCCAGGCTGGCGCTCTACCCCTTGAGCTACAGCGCCACTTCCGGTTTTCTAGTGGTTCATTGGAGATCAGAGTCTCATGGATTTTCCTGCTCGGGCTGGCTTTGAACCTCGATCCTCAGATCTCAGCCTCCTGAGTCGCTGGGATGACTGGCGGGGGCCACGGCGCCCATCCACACAAGTCTCTTCTGGCTTGTTCCACTTAATGGATGTATATAGATCTATCTGGAGGGAGAAAATAGGAGGATTACAGTCCAGCGGCCAAGCCGGAGTTCCCAGGGCCCGAGCACCGTGTGATCTCCGTCCGGGTCACCGGCTGCGGTGGAAGCTGGGGTTCCAGCCCTGATGGCAGCACTGACTGAGCCGAAGCCACGGGCTTCCACATAGCTGTCTTTCCATCCCTGAGAGCCGGGACGTCAGCCGCGAGGACAGCCAGGCCTGGCCGCAAATGTGGCGGGAAGCACGGTGCCCGGCTTCGGGGGTGGCGGGAAGCACGGTGCCCGGCTTCGGGGTGGCGGGAAGCACGGTGCCCGGCTTCGGGGTGGCGGGAAGCACGGTGCCCGGCTTCGGGGTGGTGGGAAGCACGGTGCCCGGCTTCGGGGTGGCGGGACCCCCCCCCCCCCCCCCCCCCCCCCCCCCGCCCCAGCCATCCGTCACGTCACGTCTGGATTCAGGAAGGAGCAGCTGGGCTGGCGGCCCCTCCCCCACCCACCCACTCCCCCTCTCGCGTCTGTCTGCCTCTGCCTCTGTCTGTCTGTCCCTCCTCCTCTCTCTGCCTCTCTCTCCTCTTCTCCTTTGCCTTCTCTCTTCCACTCCCCCTCTCTTCTCTCTCTCCTTTCCTCTCTTCTACTCTCTCTCCCTCTTTCTCTCTCTCCTCTCTGTCTCTGTCTGTCTCTCTTTCTGTCTCTGTCTATCTCTCTGTCTGTCTGTCTTTCTGTCTCTACCTCTGTCTCTCTGTCTTTCTGTCTCCATCTCTGTCTGTCTTTCTGTCTCTCTGTCTCTCTCTGTCTCTGTCTCTGTCCCTCTCTGTCTTTCTGTCTGTCTCTGTCTCTCTGTCTCTGTCTCTCTCTCTGTCTTTCTGTCTGTCTGTCTTTCTGTCTCTATCTCTGTCTCTCTGTCTTTCTATCTCTCTGTCTGTCTGTCTTTCTGTCTCTATCTCTGTCTCTCTGTCTCCATCTCTGTCTTTCTGTCTCTCTGTTTGTCTTTCTGTCTCTATCTCTGTCTCTCTGTCTTTCTGTCTCTATCTCTGTCTCTCTGTCTTTCTGTCTGTCTCTCTCTGTCTCTGTCTCTGTCTCTCTGTCTCTGTCTCTCTCTCTGTCTTTCTGTCTGTCTGTCTTTCTGTCTCTATCTCTGTCTCTCTGTCTTTCTGTCTGTCTGTCTGTCTTTCTGTCTCTATCTCTGTCTCTCTGTCTTTCTGTCTCCATCTCTGTCTGTCTTTCTGTCTCTCTGTCTTTCTGTCTCTATCTCTGTCTCTGTCTTTCTGTCTCTATCTCTGTCTCTCTGTCTTTCTGTCTCCATCTCTGTCTGTCTTTCTGTCTCTATCTCTGTCTCTGTCTTTCTGTCTCTATCTCTGTCTCTCTGTCTTTCTGTCTCTATCTCTGTCTCTCTGTCTTTCTGTCTGTCTGTCTCTGTCTCTGTCTCTGTCCCTCTCTGTCTTTCTGTCTGTCTCTGTCTCTCTGTCTCTGTCTCTCTCTCTGTCTTTCTGTCTGTCTGTCTTTCTGTCTCTATCTCTGTCTCTCTGTCTTTCTGTCTGTCTGTCTGTCTTTCTGTCTCTATCTCTGTCTCTCTGTCTTTCTGTCTCTCTGTCTTTCTGTCTCTATCTCTGTCTGTCTTTCTGTCTCTCTGTTTGTCTTTCTGTCTCTATCTCTGTCTGTCTTTCTGTCTGTCTCTGTCTCTCTGTCTCTGTCTCTCTCTCTGTCTGTCTGTCTCTCTGTCTCTGTCTCTCTCTGTCTTTCTGTCTCTCTGTCTGTCTGTGTCTCTGTCTGTCTCTGTCTTTCTGTCTCTCTCTGTCTCTCTGTCTCTGTCTTTCTGTCTCTATCTGTCTCTGTCTGTCTGTTTTTCTCTCTGTCTCTGTCTGTCTGTCTGTCTGTCTGTCTGTCTCTCTGTCTCTTTCTCATTGCTATGCCATCACAAGCCAGTGTTGTTGTTGAAGTCGTCCCATTTACAGTGATCAGGAATGAAACACTAATAACAGCTCTGCGGTTGATCATAAGTGACAGAGAAAACGCCGGAACCCTAGCCGTGTGTGAGGAGCAGGGCGGGGCTGCCCCGGCACTGCCCGCCCGCTTCCAATGCCACCGCAGTGAGCCGGCGCCGGCACTCACGCCTGGCATCCCAGCCCCTCAGGAGGCTGAGATCTGAGGATCGCGGTTCAAAGCCAGCCCAGGCAGGAAAGTCCATGAGACTCTGATCACCAGAAAACCAGAAGTGGAGCAGTGGTTCAAGAGGTAGAGCACCAGCCTTGAGCAAAACAAAGCTTGGGTTCGTGTGTGAGTGTGTGTGTGTTTGAGTGTGTGTGAGTGTGTGTGTGTGTGTGTGAGTGTGTGTGTGTGTGTGAGTATGTGTGTGTGAGTGTGTGTTTTCCATCTGGCCAGGTACGGAACAGCCAGACTCCACAGGGCAAACACATGGAATTATTTTGTACTAGCGCCAAGCAAATCCATTCTAAATCTTTCCTTTGAACTTGAACTGAGCCGCAACATCATCTTTCTCTTTTGGAGCTGCCCAGGGGCCTGGGGGTTTTCAGACACAGTGTTTTCATTTGTTCCTTTGTTTGGTTGCCAATCTCAGGCCTCAATAGGCAAAAAAATAAAATAAAATACAAAGCAAAACAAGCTTTGAGAAAGATGGTTCTCCGCCTCTGTCCCTCTCAGCCTAGGCGTGGAAGAGCAGAAAGAAGAGCAATCGTGATTATTCGCTGTTCCAGATTACCTGATATCTACATGAATTTTTTTTTCTGAGCTTTTATGAGGCCAAAAATGCTCATTCTGGGCCTGGAGCGGCTGGAGCTGCCCTGTGGCCTCGAGCTCACAGCCCTCTTTGCTTTTTGCCTGGATGCCAGGGCGCGAAGCGAACAAAAACCCTTCATCCTAGAACAAAAACCCTTCATCCTAGAACAAAAACCCTTCATCCGCGTCGGCTCGGAGCCTCTCAGCCTGGAAC